GCCATATTACTCGCGAGACCGATTGCTTAGCTATATTGCTCTAGTGTGCGGGAAACATGACTTGCAAGCCATATTACTCGCGAGACCGATTGCTTAGCTATATTGCTCTAGTGTGCGGCGGCCTTAAGGGATTTTTCGGATAATAAACAGGCAGTTGCTACTATTTACATTGCCATGTATTAAAAGTTTCCTGCAGAAATTTACTATAAATCTCTAGGTAAAGTAAGTTGTACTGAATGCATAAGTGATAATTTGAACAAGTGAACATTTGGCCATTATCAGTAGCATAGTTCTCATTATTAAATATCATTGTTATCAGTAAGCTACTGAGTATCCGTTAAGCAGGCTGCACAATGTTTAACTATCACCTATGGCTCACATGTTAATAGTTTGCTGGGTTAATGTACATTGAGTGTTGAATGTTAATAGCATGGCATAGAAACTTTAAACAGAGTAGGGCTTGGCTTGGCTGCTATGTGCTGTTGGAACCCCCACAAGCGATATTAACGTGTGAAGGTGACTACTTTGTATAGTGCTTGGAGCAAATCATTCAGCAGCGGAGGAGGCTGGTATAACTATTATAAACAGGTGGCCATCTCACATTTGCCGACTCAAAATGATAATGGGCGAATATATGAGACAAGATAAAATAGTATTACGAGTACATTTTTGTTTCAAACTGTATCAGTTTTGAATGAATTAAATTTCACACAACATTAATAATACATCAAAAACCAAAATCATTCAAAATAATTTATGTTGTTATTTTTATATTTTATCATTTTTATGATTGTATTTTAAAGTAGATTCAAAGGAGACTGGTCTTTATGTATTATTTTTGCATTCGTTTACAGGCTAAAAAAGACAAAGAAAATGGATGGTATCTGATTTTGAAACATTTCGACGACACATGTTGCCATTGCTCCATTCTGGTTCATCAAGATATTATTGGATATACTATGGCTCATGGAAATTGAGGAGTCGCACCAACACCAAAAGAAAACATGGATGGGCAGCAACCCTCATTGTGGTTGAAATATGTGGATGCTAGCTCGATCAGTGTTAATACACTAGCTCATCAAACAACCCCTCCATTGATGTTAGAAGGAAGTGATATTGTAATTGGAACAGTGAGTGGGGAGCAGGTAGAGCAGATGTCTGTTGGTGAGGCAGAATTACATTCCCCACTGACATCTCTGTCTGAAAATGAGGTTGAAACTCAAGGCTCTGAAATTACAGTTCCACTAGTTACAATTTCAGAGCCAAAGACGTCCCAGCAAAGTATCTTGAAGCGGCCAACACGCAGCCTTCTGACACACAATAGAAGCAAAGGATTTAGAAAAATTGTTGTTTATCCTCGTCGGCAGCAGAGTGAAGATGAACACACCAGGGGTGAGTATGGAGTCAGCCTGCCAGATGCTGCCAGTGCCGCTAATGCCGTCACAGTGTATAGAACAGAAGCCGATCTAGGCAGTGCAATGGCGATTATATCGTCAGCGGCCACAGATGTGGATCCTACACGCGTTCAGACGGATCAAGCTCAATCTGATCCAAGCTTTAGCATCTCGGTCGCCGGAGTAGAATCGGGTGACGCAGTGCTGTCAGCCATGGTAGGGGATGAGTTTACATCGGAAGACGATTTTCTGACAGTAGTTAACCCTGTCAGCGGCAGTGTGACAATGATGCCCTTCAAGGACCTCTTTGAGGACAAGAACAACACGCTCATGACGCCTCAGGAGCTTGAGAGCATGCCGGAGAATGGCATTGAGTTTGAAGAGTCGGTCGGGCCGAAGGAGGCACAAGCTGATGAAATGAGTCTAATGGAGCTCGTTGGCGACTCGGGAGAAAAGCTACTAGGCAAAGCACGCAACCGAGTGGCAGTTTGCCGGAAGAACGCCTCAACGAAGGCTCCGAATTACACACTCGGGAAAGTTCTTGTCAAGACGGACAATGCGACGAAGATCACTCAGATCGTGATCAATCCGGATCAGCTGCAGAAGATCCACCAACTGATCTGCAGCACTACGAGTGCAGATGTTAGTGGAAAAACGCTTGAGTTGAAACCTGCAAATGGCGAATTGCTTGATGGAGTGATAACTGACAAGCAGGAGGTGATGGTTTCACCGGCCGACGCTGCACTCATGGTCGCCACGATGGAAAAAGAGAGTGAGCTTGGTGATGTTGCTAATGGCCATCTTTTATCCGTTGAGGAGAGCGACCATCAGGCCACTACTACATGTAGTAGAGGTACTGTGTTGTGAAAAATAGTTCATCGCAGTTTTACGCATGTGTCTGGTGTAATAATACGACAAGACGAAGATTAACTGAAGATCTACTGATAGAAAAACGTCCAACTTTATATCTGCTGAAATGAGTAATAAATGATAGGGTTACTGCATGTACCGTGCATTATACAATTTCAAGAATTGACATACATATATCTAATCAGTTTTCTTTCATCTCACCTCTCATATTCAACAATTACATGTGTTTTCAGAGCTTTATATTGTCACCGAAGATGGAAAGCGTCTTATGCTTCGATTTAATCCTGATCCTAGTGATCAATGTGATACAGAACCCGTGGTTTGTATTATTCATTTCACATGTTAGGCTAACATTAAGCTTTAATATTCAATGTAATGGTTTGCATGTCTTAGAATTTTTCAGTTTGTAGGGGTTGCTAATAGGTTTAAGCTTTAAAGTTTTTCTGTCTCCACGAAATGTAAGATTTATTCTTAAATGCACCCATATTTCAATTGACTAAAAATTGACTTGCATATCAATGTAGAGTAAGAAGAGATTCGTCTGCCCTCTACCTGACTGTCGAAAAGTATTTACAAAGGACAACAAGTTTAGGATTCATATGACTTCACACTCATATGACAGACCCCACAAGGTAAGACTGTACTTGAAAATTATTTTTATTGTAGATATCATGAAATTGTGTCTAACTAAAACGAAGTATAAATATATATTGATCTCACCTAATGTTTTATTTTGTTTATTACATATGTAAACAGCTCGTGCATACCTAAATGTATCAACAAGTTGAGACTTCATGCACAGCTTTTCCTTCCTATTTGTCATTATTTGTCATCATATACATCAGATATCTCTTCTGTTTTCAGTGCACAGTGGATGGCTGTGATTGGTCCTTTCCTTCCCAGTACAAATTACGACGCCACCTTGAATGTCATAAGGGTACAAAATTGTATGTGGTATGTATATTACTAAATCTTATGAGGGAGTGCAGTTCAAAAAGACAAACTGCAGGTATTGCTCAAGCATGTAAGCAATCAGTTAATGAATGTCTACCCTGAGTCAGACAGCCATAACTGTCAGAATGACATGGCCGATCATGATTACAAAAAACGCTCTAAACTGTCATTATGTCTACACAATTTGTCCTGATTTTTAAACTGCATCAGCCAGTATGAAATCTCTATTGACAAGGTTATTAGTTTTAACCAGTTAAGGTTTTATTTTGACTCCCTGTGTATTTGTCTTAGCGTTACAAACCTGTTTGGTTTTTGATATTTTACAACCGAGCATTGGAATTCGTGCCACCTAACAGCCAGATTAATGCTAATCTACACTATAAGATGTGACCACAAACTATAACCCTCGTGGAGATTTTCCATTATTGACAGGTATAGATGCCCCGTGTGACCAATGTGATGACGACTCCTCATGGTCAGTTTTGCTGTTTCAGTGTGATATTGGTGGTTGTAGCAGAACATTTACAACTGTTTACAACCTCAACGCCCATAAGAGGCTCCACTACCGACCCTGCCTGAATGAGTGTCCACTAGGCACCTGCAGACAGCGATTTCCAACCAAGAAGCAGTTGGACCTCCATCTAAAGGAGCATGAGGATGATGTTGAGAGACCTTACCAGTAAATCAAAGCTATGAAATATTGCTACGATCCACAAACACCAGTTTCTTGTACTAACATGTGTAAATAGTGTCAGTTACAACTATATTATTTAAACATTAATGTATGGCTGTGAATTATCTGCATATTAATATGCTATTTCAACCCTGTTTTCTGACAGGTAGAGTATTTGTAAGTACAGGTGTTTCTTATTTATTTGTATTGTCCCCTTCCTGACAAGTGCATGTTTTATAATACACAGCATGACATGACATCTGATATCTATCTCTATTATTAACCAACGTTCTATGTTCCATATTCTGTCTTCGTTGCTAGGTGCCCAGAGCCAGGCTGCGACCGAGGCTTTTACTGCAGCAATTCCCTGGCTTCCCACCTGCGGAGTCACAACTCACGCATGCCCAAGATCTGTCCGGTAGAAGGCTGTGGCAAGGAGTTTGACAAGGAGTGCAGATTGAAGCAGCATTTGCGTAGTCACACAGGAGAAAGGCCTTACATTTGTGGCGAAGAGGTATTGTTAGTGTGAGCAGTAGTTTCTGAAGGGCTGACAGTCAGAAGGGTTAGTAGTACAAACAATTGCATTAAAACATGAACGATGTGATTATTAACTGTCTGTGTTACCTCTCACAGTAATTAAGGGGGATTGCAAAAGAAAGGGTAGTATTTGCATAGAAATAAATGGTGAAACCAGAATTCACGTCCAGCCTGCACATGAGAAATTTTTGTTTTCCATAATAATAATAAGTACAATTGCCTAAAATAATGTTTCTTATTTACATATTTTTATGACGATAAATCAGGGTAGGATTTCAAACAGGTGGAGGAGGTTTTAATCCATGTTTTACATATGTTTTAATAGCAAAAAATGCTGTAATCTATATCCACGTTGGCCATCTTGTAGTGACTTGTTTATATTTTGTGGTATAGGGTTGTGGATGGTCGTTTACAAGTGCCAGTAAACTGACAAGACACATGAAGTCGCACTCACAAGAGCGTAACTATCTCTGTCCGCATGAGAACTGCACCAAAAGATTCATGCGTGCAGAACACCTAAAAGCACATGTTAACACGCACACAGGGGAACGGCCGTTCGTTTGCCGATTTGAACGTAAGTTTTACTGAGCCTGTTGTCAGAAACAAAATAAATCTTAACATTAACTTAATGTTAATGAAGTCTACGACATTGAAAAATCCTGTAAAATTTCCTCATATCGTCACAAAACAAAATTCTCTCAACACCTTCCAAGGAAAAGTTCATGTTGACTAATTTTGTTTCTGTCAGTCGGCCTCTGGTCATTAGTTACTGCTTACGTTGATTACCGAAATACAACTATATATGCTAACAATACTATGCATTGTACTCGGCTTAACACGCCGGCCATGACCGAACCACACATTGTTTGACTGCTATTTTTTTCTATTGTCTCTCCTTTTCATTCTGATGATGATTGATTATTGCATCACTGTTGTTTAACAGAGTGCCAGGCTCGTTTCACGGCACGGCAGAGCCTCTATGCACATCTGAAGAAGCACAGTGCTGCAGACCTGCACTACAGGGTAGTCTACCACTGCCCTGTAGATGGATGCGACAAGAAGTATAGTACACAGAGTAGCCTCAAGGTTCATGTTTCAAAACTGCACTCGGAAGTTGGTAAGTAACGATGAATCTCACAGCTATCAGATCTTAGAAGGATTAGTAATGGATAGAGTATTCTATAAGTATTTCTTTTACCGATAAATTTGGCAATGTGTTGCTTGCTTAATAGACACTTTCGTTGTAATGTGATCACGTATTGAAAGATTATTTAGGTTTTAGGTTTTTTTTCATGTCTTGTAGTTAACAGTAAGTGTACATACTTAATTTTACAGATATTCAGCAGCTTGACTTTCTTGCATACGTATCAACAGAGGAGATGCCAACACTGGAAAATTTGACTCAGTTATCACAAGAAGATGAAGGCATACAAACAAATGGCGAAAACATACTTGAAGATGTTAAACCTACTGTGGCCAATATCACGAGTGCAACACAATTCATTACTGAAACAGGTTCCACTGTTTGCAAATTGTTTTTTTAGTTAGGTGTAATTTGTCACATCACTAAATCGCCATTGATGTTCAGATATACGACGTGTATACAGTAGTTTATTAATATCAGATATTGTATTAGTTCTCCAATTTTTCCAAATGTCTTATTTGAATGAAATGTTTTCCTCACAGCATCCACAAGTCCATCGCCAGGCCTACAAGAGATGTCAACCCAGCTCGTTGGAAATAATGTTGTCACACAGTTTGTGGTGCCTGCAGACCTCACTGAGTCTCATCTGACTAGCATCGGTCACCAGACAACAGCATTCACCGAGATAGGTATATATAGTATATCTTGCTTTGTCCCATAGTTAGCATATAAAACTATATCATCCAAGCAAAACATTGTGATAATGTCATAGTGCATGTAGTGTGTTATATGTATTTTGGTGCTTTTAAAGTGTGTCATGTGCATGCACAACAAATGCACATTCACACATATTTTGTCAAACCTGTATGTCACTTAAGGGTAATGTCAGTGGTGGTCTTTATGGACAGGTGGCAATTCTATAAACTTGGGTGACTATTTTTAGCTCATCTGACATAGTCAGATCTTGTAGAATCGCATGAGCATCCACTCGTCCCTGCGTCCGTGCGTGCGTCCGTCAACAGTTATGGCACAAATCTTAACCGCTCGACTCGTCTTGATATTCGGGACGTCGGGGGGGGGGGGATCGCAAAAAGGACTCGGGATGTCGAATTTGGGGGTCAAGGGTCAAAGGTCAAGATGTGTCAATGGAGGGGGAATATTTCTCCCTTAACTTAAGGTATAGGAGGAAATTCGGAATTGCGGCACAAATCTCAACGGCTCGACCTACGCTCTTAATATTCGATGTATAGTGTGATGGGGAGGAAACCCATCACCAGCGCGAAATTGGAGGTCAAAGGGCAGTGGGGGAAAGGTCAGATATCAGACATTTTCTGAGGACATGGTCTAACGGACCGAGTGAAACTTTTTTGTTTCAGCGCTGACCTACCATTTTTATCACTTTATTGAAAGAACCATGAAATGTACTTTCCGCTGATGTGCGAAGAGTAAGTGTCTGATAACCTTTTGACCCTCAAGAGGAGGGTTAAACATTGATTTGTTGACTGTTAACAAATGACTGAACTGTGTTTGATGGTACTTGTGTGATCATGGAAGACTTAAATTTCACAGTGAAATTCTGCATGTAAAACTTACTTGAACAACGTTTACGCGCCTTAAATCATATATGAACTTCATTCTCTATATGAGATTCTGTACATTGGGAATACAATGTCAATAGCACTTACGCAAATGTATGTTTTTGATTCAGGCCAACTATAAATACCTCGCAGGTGGGTGACTGATAGTAATTGCATGGGCTAAACGAATGTAGCAACTAGTTCTAATTATATATTCCCTGCACCTAGTCAGTATGCACGCCAGCTATCGGAACAGAGCGAGAAGAATGTCCCGGCAGGATAGGTAAAATTTATTGCGCTCAAAGGGGCAGGAATTACTTTTTTAACTTCAGTTTAACCAATCTTGAGATAAGTAATTGCAGAAATGAATCGTCAAACCTACCAATGAAAATCCATCGGCACGTCCTCCACACAAACAAATCGATTTGTAACCCTGTCCAGTATTCATGCATTGTAAAGTTCTTCATTTCACTTCAAAGTCACACTTGGGTATTTCTTACCCAGGAATAACTACTCTATAGCACGTTATGTACTAACAAAACGGCATTCTTCGGCAATACAAAAATACAAAAGTAGTCGATCCATTCTGTTCCAATAATGCCGTTTCCTTAGTAGTCCCGGCCGGCAAATGCAACCACCTTTATACAAAGTTAGATGGACGTACAGAATGGGCCAATTTCTGCCCAATGGTCTTCACACTTAATAGTACACGCGCAATATCACGACACAGTTCGATAACCAAATATGCTAACAATCGACCTCCCACGCCTCTGGTATAGCAAATGTCTATTCCACCCCCAATTGTACAACCTTTATGATACCATTCACATACCTTCCCATGTTTCAGCACATCTGTCAACACCTCTCAGACTAAAATACATCTTGCTATGCACAAATGCATTTATCAGTAGAACACCAGACATCAGATGAGCCCTGTCGCACGGCGGCACTTGTTAGTTTTTACCATGTAAAATATATAATGTATGATCAGACGTGAATGCATACAAATTTGTTTTTATTCATGGCTAAATGTATATTAATGCCCTGTATTTTTTTTATAATGTCATACTCTGTTATGCTTCTGTCTCGTGTATTTCCTGCTTTCTGACAAAACGTTTCACCCCTTTTATAAATCTCCACAAGTTGCTAAAAGTGGCAGAGGGCTTAAAAGGTGGACGTGGGGTGTGAAGGGGTAGGGAGAAGATAGAGGAGAGCATGGTGAGAAGGGCTAGGAAGGTGGAGGAGCTGTAGTAGAAAGAGGAGTGCAGAGGAAGGAGAGAAGTAATGGGAAAAAGAAAAGGGTGTAAAACATGGGGAAGGGTAGGGCGAAGAAAGAAATGGAAGAGAGGAAGGGGAGACAAGGTCATGGAAGGGGATGGAGAATATGGATGAGGGTGGCAGATTAGGGAGGAGGTGGAGAAGTGGTATGAAGAATAGGAGGGGGGAAGGTAGAGAATAATAAGGGGGCAAAGGAATGTGGATGATGTGGAGGAGGGAAGAGAATGGGGTTTCTCTATACCCTTAGCTCTATGTATGGAATCCAGTTTTGTCTCTCTAGGACACTTACATCGTACAATGGTAATATATAGTCTAATAAGGTCTTACAGTCATCTTACACATTATTGAATTTAAATGCTCATTTACAGATTTCTGCTCTGTGAAATAACCTACACCAGCTTCACTATGGGCGTGTTTGTTTGGTCGAATCCATGGATCTCAATCCACTGGATCGAACCCTAACCCAAACAAACGCGAACTCACTTTCAACGGTTAGCGTTTCGCTGTGACCTATCACGGGATGGTTCATAACAAAGGACAAGCTGTGATTGTCTGAGGCGCGGGCCGCCATATTGGATTCCCATTCGAATCCACCTCGCTAGCAGGGTTGGGTTCGGTGGATCCGACCAAACAAACAGTCAGATCCACGGATCCAGTGGATCGAGATCCAGTGGATCGAGATCCGTGGATCCGACCAAACAAACACGCCCTATAAATAACCTCATCGTCATCATTTAGCCACTAAACTTCTTCCAGTGCTCCAGATAATTTTTGGCGTTGATGAGTATTTACTCACCATTTTTTTTATGTATGAGTATCGGCAAGATCCCTATGAGTACTCCTTGTTGGCAGTACTCATCATATTTTCTTAGTATGAGTATCGACCAGAATATTAACATATCTTGCCTTTACAACCTCATTAGTTTGAGGTACTTACAGCGTGTAGACTTCATGTTTGTTTCTGCAGACGATGGCAACGTGCGTTTTTATTACCGCGGAGTAAACTGAATTCTAATTGGCTAATCAAATATAATGGACCAATAGTCAACAAGCTTAGATCACACACGTTCGACTTTCCTTATTTGGAATTAATTCCGGGAAGGTCGAGTAGACTGCGTTCCAGTCGCAACACCAATTCTAACTTCAGAGCTTTGTAAAATAAACTACACACAGGAACCAGTCACGATAGATAGTAGATAGACTGGTTCACGTACTGACACACAGCAGCCATAGCGAACTTAATGAGTGGGGCACCGCGACCAAGCTACCAGTCTATTAGCGAGAGAGTCGAGCCGATACGGGAGTAGATGGAAGGTTAGCGTACTGATACGATCTGTTTGTTTTCTCATGTACGTATTTATTAAAACACAAGCGTATCTATACGCATACCTTTGAAAATTACATGCGTATTTGTATGAAATTCATGCGTATTTACGCAAATACGCAAGCTATCTGGTGCACTGTTCTTCCGTGTAGGCTACACAACCTATATCTATTGGCTGTGGCTCAGAGGTATAGTCTCCCAGGCTAGTGTACACTGAATGATGATAGCACGGGGTATAAACTTAATAAAGTGCAGCTGCTGTGTGCAGTTGAAGCACCACTTGAGGGATACCATGATGGAGCAATGGTATACTAGCTGGCGTTTAACATGTTTAATCATTTTATTGCAGATTCAACTGGTGAAACTTTGTTGCCACTCAGAGAGGGATCTGCACGGACAGATGTGCTGGCAACTACGATCCTGTGTGACAGAGTGCGTCGACGTAGGAAGCGTCCACTGAGCATTAGCAGCGACAGCAGTGTGACAACCAGTGACATTGTGTTACCACCTCCCAGTATCAGCTTTCAGACTCAGTTGCTACAGGTGCAGAATAGCTACTATTGTCTTTCCTACGTTTCTCTGTGGTGTTTGTTTGCAAGACGTTGCAGATGCAAGAAGTAGCTTATAATCCATACAAGTGTTAACAGAGTGACTTTCAGGTGTAGGCTTTTTCTGAATTCCCTCGTGGTTTCATTTTCCAGGATGACCCTCCTCTGCTAACTCCATGTGATATACTAGTGGAGGGCGCACTGCCGCCATCTAGTACAACACAGTCTGTACTCGCATTGGGCGCTGTAGGGAGCCAGGTTGATGTTGCTTCAACGCGAGAAATTGTCAGCCAAAGTCAGCCGCTGGATATAGTGATCAGCCAATCAGCGCTGTGTGTCGTGTCTAGTGCTAGTCGGACCTTATCACCAGAGCTGCTAATGGCAAATGATCTAGGCTCATCTCTCAGCACCAGCATACTAAACGAGAATGCAAGTGATTTCACAGGGTCGTCTATTAACCTGATACAGGAATTGGATGTAGAATAGAAGCGTCAGCTAATAGAAGTTTTGTATTTTTTAAATGGTGGAATGCGTGTGTGCAAGCTATATTGTGTATATCATATATACACGTATTGTTTCACCATGGCAGAGATTGACATTAAAGGTTATAATTTATTTTATTATAAACCTGCTCATTGTTATATTAGGCATGATGACGAAATGTTGAAGAGATGTATATGTGTACATTTATATATGTGACGATCAAACTAGGTAAATGTTGCAAGTTTTTAGTCACAGCTGTCACTTGTGGCTTTTATAAAGCTTATTAGACAGAATAATGCAGTGTTATATATTGCCAATAAATAGCACAGACAGTCATGGTTAATGAAATGTACATTTTGAGGGTCCCGATTAAATAAAATTGCAGAGAACGGAGATATTCCTGAGTTTTTATTTTTTGTACGCTATTTACACATTTCAGCACGCACATTATCAAACTCGTACAGCATGAAATTCCAGTATCCTGTTGATAGTAAATACATACATGTCCTTTTCTGACCATTAGATAAACATTCTGTCCGTGTTCTATGTAAGTGTATAATATTACCAAAACAACACACTCCCCAATTTCATAGAGGCAACAACGAATATTAAAGTATAGCTTGTTTTAGCATAGAACTACTACTGCTTGTTTGAACAAAACAAATGTGTCAGGTAACCAGTCAACTGTTTTCTAGGTGGCATGTTTTCAGCAAAACGGCTATGCACGTTAATATAAACAACAGGTGTGATTTCCCAAAGAAATATTAAGAATGAAGCAATACTGGGAATAATGAAATGAGATCAAATGTATTTTTTCAACATAGATAAGCTCACAAGCAGGAGATATATCAGTGGCTCCCTACCACTAATATGGCAATGGATCTCATATTATAGTAAGACTATACACTTATGGCCTGACATATTTAACATTATATGAATAAAAGGGTGGAAATTGTCAGCATCTGTATATTTCCAACTATAAATTAAATGCAGCAACATTGCAAAAAGCATTTATTATGTCTAGTGGAGTCCTTATATTTACAAATTCCACTGCAAGAATAATACGAATTACGAATTGCAATAGTTTTTAACACACACTACATTAGATACACCATTTGATTATGTTTACAGTGCCACATTCAAAAGTATCAATTTAGCATTAAATTTTATCACATAGTCACAACAAATCATACACAGAAATTGTCGTCACTTGATCGATGGTAACATACTACGCTTTTCCATTATTTGTTGAGCTATTATTGGCTGGACTGCTTGCAGTAGCAGATTCACCAATGTCAAGGGTCTTTAGTAAGCGGAACAACCCTGCTGCCTCTCTGATCCGACTGAACTCTATACAGAACGCCTGCACCTCAATAAACAGGTCCTGTAAGACAAGTAGCAAACACTTCATTCAATGTCATTAATTTTTAACTGCACTATTGCCTTTATACATGCATAAAAATGCAGCTGCCCAATGGATAAACTGATAGAGGTATAAATAATTCGATGTGCAACCAGAATTATTCGACGTTTGGCATCGAATGATATTCCTGGCAAGGAAATGGCTTAGTAACTGAAGGTATACAACATGGATTATTCATGACATATCTACATCATAGTCCTTGGATATTTTCCCCCGTGATAATAGCTTCATGATATTATTACATTGTCATGGTACAATATTTCATACCTCAAAAGACATACACAATAAAACACATCTAGCAACACCGAGCAGTAAGTCTAAATAACCCAGGATATTGCATCAACACAAGTGTGTGAAGCCAAGTTAAAATATTGTTCTTTTTATATCCGATACAGATTCTGAACTAAGTTATAGACAAGTTAAATGACAAGTTATAGTCACTGCTGTTGAGGAAGATTATACCTCCTCACATACAGGCAACTATATATTAACACAGTTCATGAAATTATGACGTTGGACATGACAGATTATCTGTTGCAGTATTTTCTCCGAATAATAACACAGGCACAATTACCTTGACGTCAATGATTTTGTTTCTAATAAGGCTTTGTAGAAAGACACAGACGAGACGCACGAGTCGGTTCTGCATGTACCTATCCTTCATCTGTTCACATGTAGATATGCAATTTGAGATGTAAAGATGAACGAATTCTTGTGGTAGATCTACAGCCTGTAAGCAGATCCCAAAGCTATATCGAAAACATCCAACATCTTAGGAAAATTCAGAGGCATTACTATATATTACTATTTTAAATAATGATAAACCTATAGAATACTGAAACTGCCTCTATGAAATGAATTTTTTTAGCTAACAGCTATATAGCTTTTCTCATGTAAAAATAACAGCTTAGCTTTAGTGTAGTTAAACTGATATATAGCACATACTGTTGTAAGCCTATTGACAACTTCCATGGAATGCAATGACATCTCCATATTCACCAAAACGGAGAAATACCTGTGTAGATAAGCATGATCAGTGTTTATTAATAATAACCTCTATTGTTAAGAAGATTTTTTTATGCAACCACATTTTTTATTAACACCTGGTTGCACAATAAGAAACGAGAGTCATTAGGACTGTACTACCACAGCACTATTTTTTCAATAAATTCATGAATTACTCATGTTGTAATGTTAGAATTCTCTCCATTTACAGCAATTACTATAAAGTGATATTGAAAGAATGAGTTTTGTATTTTTATTTATACGTACTCTGTTATTTGGCTAGACTGCATCAGCTTAAGCAGCACCTCAATAGCCACCAGTGGGTTGTTTTCTACCAAGTCTGGCAACTATTAAAACAAACCAAAGGACTGGTACAGACATAAACTCTTGGAAATCTTAAACAGTATAAAACCAATTCTTCCCTATATTCCCTAAAATTTCTTCCATAAATTTCACATACGACGTACCTTTGCCGGAGTTAGACCAATATGGTACACAAGTTTTGGGTCTCTCTCTAGTTCACCCAATAATTGCTGTTGCTGCTGCAAAGTGAGGGGACCTTTGAATGCCTTTGACATAAGCCGTTTTGCCTCCATTCCAGCTGAAGTTGCAACACACATAGTGGAATCCCATGCTACCTGGTGGTCATTGTCTACAGGAATCATCCAGATCATCTGTCAATAAATCAATGTATGGCACCCACCACATTAAAGATATTTTAATTAATTATCCTCTGCCTTACACACAGAAAACACTCTATGAGATCGTAGTCTGGACAGTAATATCAAAACAAGTGCCGCAGAGCGACAGGGCTCATCTGGTGTCTGGTGTTCTGCTGATAAATTCATTTGTGCATAGCAAGACATCCTATACATACGTTCATTTCTAACCCAAAAAAAAAAAACACTTCAAACTAGTGTAATAAAATTCCGATAGATGGCAGGCCGCTATCAAAGGCGATTGGTCAGCAATAGCATTGCAGCAATGGCAGCTGTCAGTGACGACAAATTGCAAAAAGCAGGAGCAAATAATTACCATATTATTACTATACATAACGTGCGTTCTATGGTGTCAGTTAATAAGGTACATTAAACCCCTTGCGAGGCACATCTGGCTCGTTAAAAATAGCTCAATGGTTGATACAACCAGAGGCAGAGCAGCTCGTGCAAGATTACAATTAACAGCAATACGATAGCAAATATCTCTAAACCAATTTCAGTACAAGGTAGGCCAGTGATTAGTGGACCGAATAAGCTCAAGAACGTACACACTTGCGTCTATATTGGTGCCAAAATTTGATGAGAAAATTAAGTCTGGGAAATCCGCAGCCTCACTCCTGGGTAATTATTTGAGTGCTAGTGACTGTATTCCAACTATTCATAATGTACACTACATAATCTTATATATATAAGTCATGTCATTATCTCGTAAGTAAGCGTTGTTCAAGTAAGAGTTAAGTGTGGAATTTCACTGTAAAATGGGAGCTTTCCACACCCACAGGTACTCGCCAACGCAGTTGAGAGAAACAAATCCATGTTTAACCGTCCTCTTGAGGGTCAAAAGGTTATCCGACACTTACTCTTCGCATGTCAGCGGAAAGTACATTTCATGGTCCTTTCAATAAAGCCATAAAAATGCTAGGTCACCGCTGAAACAAAAAGGTTTTTCAATCGCTCCGTCAGACCATGTCCTCAGAAAATGTCTAAAATCTGCCCTGTGCCCCATTGACCTTTGACCTGTGACCTCCAATTTCGGCACAGTGATGGTTTTTCCTACCATGATGCTATACACCAACTATCACGAGCCTAGGTCGAGCCGTTTAGATTTGTGCCGCAATTCTGCATTTCCTCCCTATACCTTAAGTTAAGGATGGAATGTTCCCCCTTCTTTTACACCTATTGACCTTTGACCTCCACCTTCAACATCCCAACTCGTTTTCGGATTACCCCCCCCCCACGTCCCGACTTTCGAATCCGTACGTCGAGCCGTTTAGATTTGTGCCCAACTGTTGACAGACGCACGCACGGACGGACGCACACCCATGCGATTCTACAAGCTGCATCTGACTATGTTAGATGAGCTAAACACTACGTACAATCACTACCAAAAAATATTAAGTTCCCAATCAGCACATTATCAAGTTATATAAGTATGACCTGATTTCTACAAGGTTTGCAATCTTCCTTAATTTACCTACCTCATCATCACTAACATGTAGTGGTGGTGCAAGTCTAAGAAACTCTGGCTTAATGCACCCCTCTGTGACCTTGCTTTCAGGAGAAAGTATTGTTTCTATTGTCTTGTGCATTATGCCAGTATCAAGAAACAGTCTACAAGAAGCAAATATATATTTAATGATTATGACAAACATCACACACAGCAAAACCAGCATATCATAAGCAAATGCTGAGCATACACACCTAACAACAGCAAATATCTCTCTCACTTCTAGCACATAACATTCATGAACTTTTACAATCAAGCATGTGATTACTGTTGACAATAATCGATCATGAACCAAAACACTTGCCCCTTTTAATGTGTTCATGAACTCACCCATGTCTAAAATCGGGATCTGCTAGCACAGTGGGTATGCCACATTTGCTGACTGCTGGCAACTCTGATTGCTGCTCAACAATTGACACTTGTAATCCACTCATGTCAGCAACCTAAAATGTACCAACCGCAGCAAACGGATGTTGACAATTAAGACAACTTTTGTATGTTATATAAAAAACTAGCTTAAAGAGGCACGTTGAAAACTTCAAGATTCTGTTGTGTTTCAGTTGTATTTTAAGTTGAAACATTATAAACAGTTCAAGTGTGTACATTCTTACATATTTTATCAGAAACTTACAGGTATTATTGATGGATCCAATTGAAGTATTTGCCTTGGCGTTTTTCTCAAGAGCTATTCAAATGGAACAAAAATTTCAAACATTGTTACATGACTAGTACCAATACTTAAAATGTGTAATATGCAAATAATAAAAATTTGCCCATATTAAAAGCTCAATATTGCAATACACACTTGCCAAATGTTTCTCATTAAGCTAACATTTAATGACATTATACAAATGTAATAATGGCAGTATGGTGACTCAAAACCATTAGGCAAATATAATAATTTAAACAGTAATCATTCATGTGGATCAAAAGAACACAGATTTTATTAAATATTTTAAGCAAACGTACGTCTCTCACTAGTGGTCCATTGTAATTTGCGATTATTTGAGAAAGAAATGCCTTTTCAGACATAGATATCCTTGGCAGGGCACCAGCAAACTCCAACCTCTTTCCTTTACCAGTCACATCATCTGGAGGATTCTAGAAAAAAAGCAAGGTACTTTAAGTTATCTCTTACATAAAGGGCGAGCCTGTTTTTGTGTCTGTCCTTCTGTCTATCTTCTCCCCCCCCCCCGTAAGAGCTCACCCCCAACACCATATATATTCTTAATCAGCATATCGCGACGACCAAACAGGCAAGATCCAAAAAAAAAAAAATACACAAATAAACACTTTAAATTACAATGTAAAATTATTTATTATTTTAGAGATGTCGCGAGGTGGCGCTATATACCCTCCTACTAATCAAGGAGCTACATATAACATATGTTATAATGTACTCCTTGCTACTAATTCAATCGCCGTTCACTGCTCATCCATCGACTGGCATGTTAATTTGCATTTTGTGACCAGCTATTTTTCTAGCTGTTATGTCGACTATTTTTGTTCATTAATAAATTAGAGAACTATAAGAGAAGAGACAAGAACAAGAGAACAGGATAATAATGCACATAAACTTGCTGAGCTTATTTTGGTACAAGTAAGCGTTTACACACCCATGTCGTGAGTTTGGTTAGGGTTAGGGTTTTCTTAACCCGGGGTTGTCAAATAGAATGGGCCACCTTATTTTTTTCGCAGGACACTAGGCACTTTCGTATTTTCGATTTTCGTATTTATCTCCTACAATAGAATCGTCGGATCTATGCTGTCTGTCTGTCTTCTTTGAGACCACTAAGAGGTCAGCGCCGTGAGGTATAGTTCTCATCAGCATGAAGACGACCATTTAGGCCAAAAACAATTATGCAGCAAAAACGCCAAAATAAGGCGAAAAAACAAACAACAGATTTCCCCCCAAAAAAATACTAAGCGCAGCAGAAAAGTTAACAATTAACAAGCAATCCTAGCGCTCTGACTATACACTGCAGCAGAAAAGTCAAGAGCGACATCCTAAGAACAGAATGCCTATAGCGCTCAACATAAGTCAGGCTTCAATCAAGGCAATTCGCATGAAATGCCGAAACGGCAAGGCATACAACAAAAACGCATGAAATAGCAGAAAAGCAGTAACCCCCAAAAAATCCCGGGCATCGCCGGGTAGCCCAGCTAGTATATATATATATAGGGATTTCAAAAGGCATGCAGTTTAGGGATGGTGGCAGAGGGCCTGGGAGGGGTTGTACCAAATGGAGTCAATTATGTGTCGTAAGTGCCCCCTAACACACAGGTATACTTGATCAGTTTGAATATATATGAATCAAGCTATGAAAACAGCATGGCTTTGCTAGGATTGTCAAAATTAAACACAGCTGGAAATTAAGGCATGTCAAAGGATTTATGTTATGTCACAATTCACAAACCACCTTCAGTTTTCAAGGACATGGCATGCGTTTAGGGCCTGGGAAGAACCCTATAAATATATAAACTAATCTATAACAATTATGAATTCCTATTTTTGAAACTGATGCTCCATGTGATTTTTATGCAAATACGTACCATCAAAAATACAAAAACTTGTGCAAATGGTGTTGAGCCTATTGGCTCACCCTTGTACATCTCATGTAGCAGAAATATTGCAGTTAGTCTCTGTGTTGGATGAGGAAGGAGATCTGGTTGTTGTAGCAAGAGAACCTGTGATAAGATGCGACAGGATTTAAATGTGTCTGTGAATTTGACATGTAATAAATAACATTACATTGACTGTGATTCAACCAGGATGAGAATTTACTGTTTTATTTACACTTACCATACTCATACCAAGTTTGAAGTGGTCAACTTTCTGGAAATACTGGTGGAAATTAGCTCCCATTATGTCAAAAGGCTGAATTTCACAAGCCTCTTCAGATAGTATGCTAGAAAGAAGTTTAAAACATACAACATCTCAATCAAACAATTACCAATATCTACAGTATAGAAAGAAACATGACTAAAATACCCCTGCACCCCAGTCAATCATTTTTATAATAATGTTTGTTTGTTTGTTCGGTTACTTTATTTTATACTGGACTCAAGGGTTTTAAATCCACATGAGTAGAAACCCACTCCAGGAATCTGGCTCGGTCCAGTTTTTGGCAGTTCTTATTGCACAATTTTATTTGAAGCAGATTTTTACGACTGTATGCCCTGACGGGAAGTTTTCCCACACTCTATCTCTTTTTGCTGAGTGCTAAGCAGAGAAGCAGTGTGTACCATTACAATTAATGTACTTAGTAGAAAAAGATAACTGTGTGAATTTTTATTTAAAGTACTTTAATATTATATTGCACTAATGCAAATTGCTCACACACACTGTAAAGGGCATGCCAGCAGTAAAAAAACATAATCTTGCCCCATTGGGCCTATCTCCGGTTATTATAACGTTTCTCGATCCAGAGAGACACGATACAAGATTGCGTGGCACAGCTTTGCTGTGGATCCTATTAGACCGCAGTTCCCGGGATATCGCACGCGACGCGGGGATGTTCTAATGTAGTGAAGCGGCTGCCGGCAGTGGAGACTGGTGCGTCAAATTCGATGGCCTCGCGCACGTCTCGCGACAGCGTCAGGCGTATGGTCTGTCGTTTTTAGAAGATGACAAGGATTATATATTTGAACGATATTGCTAGTGAATTGGGTAGATGATATAACCGTAATCAAAAATTGGTCAGTCCATTCTCTGTCAGATAGCTGAAATCAAAAAAGCTTCGAATTTTAATATGAACAAAACAGAATACAATGTTATAACATTCACAGAACCAAATAAAAATAGAGAATTTAATAGGCAACCAAGTATTAAAAAAATGCAATCCAAATATCATACCTAAGGGGATTTAATTAATGATATAGGAGGTAAACGGATATATAAGAGTTCCGAACTTAAAAAATGTAAGGTTCATGACGAGGGAAATATTATCGTGGCAGCAAGAGCAACAATTATGGAAATCATCACTATAGAAGCAAGAGTAAAATTACTAGCGAATGCACAGTTGACCTTGCCTTTCCCTAAATTAATCAGTGAAGTAGAATGGACTACTTAAACTATAGGAAGAATAAATAATGTTGGAGATTTCCAAAATGAGTTGCCTGCGCAAAATAATAATGCACGCAGAAAGACCTACGGAAAGGCATTGAAAGCAGCAATAAATAACTCCAAGACAGTATACGAGAAATCAGTGAAAAATAACCTATAGTTTCTATACCGTAATTGTGGTAAATACATATAAAAACAGTCGCGCATTTTTTTATTGAAAATTCCCATATTTACTGATAAAACATCCAATGGGATTTTGATTGGCGCTGTGGGCATGTAAACATAGCTGCGATTAGCCCTCCGAACATTGTGTTGTTTTATTGAGATTGTTCAATGAATGCGCACTCGTTCACCTTCCGACAGGCAAGTGAAAATGCAGAAAATTTTCCGTGTTCGATTCGAAATGCATCGCCGGCATTTCAATTATTTACGAAAAGAAAACAGGCGTGGAATGAGGAACCGGTCATCGTCAGTGACTGCACCATTCAATGCCATTCAAACGAAGGAAGCGGGGCTTAGTTCTTATTAGCGGAGATGCTAAAATGCAACAAAAGTACGTAGGTAGTGCGGTCTAAGAAAAAAGAAAAACGGCGTGTTATTTCGTTTTTTGGCCCAAACTCTATCGTAGGAAACCGTCGTACGCCTAGGCAGAATGCGCCTAAGTTCGTGAGATGCGGCGATTCCGTGGCGAAATGGTATGTACTTAAAATTTAGACAGAATAAGGGGGCGCTAGACTGTGATTGGAAGACACAAAGTGTCACAAGCACATAAAATACAAGTAAAGAAATTTTAAGGTAGGTGAAAAAAAGAAACATTAAATAGATTTGAGGAAAGACAAAAATATGTATCTGAAGTGACCCTGTATACATGAAGGATCCATGAGTATTAGTTTATGAAATAAGAATGTAACAGAATCATACTATAGACAAGTGTGACATTACTTTCTTTAAATGGGAATATACAATAGCATACAGTGCTCGAAATAAGAAAAAAAATGTGGTTGCCTGCTGACAACACACCAGGCAATCAAATCGGGTTTGTCGCTCAACCTGAATTTCTGGCTTTGTCTCCATAAAAATATCCCCAAAATCTTCTTATTTTCAATCTCACATTAATAATAATGATCAGAAATCACACAAAAACAGTGGCGTAGCCTCAGGATTTTTTAAGCAAGGGGGCCAAGAAACCAGCGAACCTCGCAAAATAGTGTGGTGCCTTAAATTTTACTGGCTCGCAACGCGATCGCTCCGCCTCCCTCTCCACACACCTAGCGTCTGCTCTAACCTCTCAGCTCTTTCAGAAACTTTGTTTGGGCGAGCGCATTTTTGTTCCATGTGTTCCTGGCTCCTAATATGTAATGTTTGTTTAGGTGTCTAGCGAGATTCTCCCAGGCAGAGGGGGTGAAAAAATGCGGGGGGGGGGTATGGGGGTCCTCCCCCAGCAATTTTGGAACTTGCTGGTTTGCTGTTCCAAATCCGATGTTCAGGCCTCCATAAATCAGAAAACGCTGACATATACCAGTGTTGGAAATAGCAGCCTGTCCATATTTTTATGTTATTCACAGCGATTTAATTCACATGATTAAGATTCTTGATGAGCTAGAAAACACTTGGATTTGAAGTATAAGACTGAACATTATTGGCGCAGCTAGCCTACACTAGTTGGTTGGGATTGATTGTCAGTTCAGATGCAAAACATTGAAAGCAAAAGGCTAGAGTCACCATAGATTAATTGGGTACCCACGCGTATATAAGATAGCCGAGTCGGTTTAGAGTTAGGGATAGGGATAGGGTTTCTTGGTTGTCCACCGACAATGTCTTCAGACTGGTTAGGTTGTCCGGCGGCAAATTCTGGTTGTCTCGGACAACCGGACAAGCGCTTATTTCGAGCACTGGCATATATTACTAGTAAAAGGATCTTTGTTATGTTACGAAAACAGTAGTCCAACCCTTTTACACAATTTATCATGCAGGGGTCGAAATAATCGATGGTCCGGGGCCATCAAATATTTTATCAGGAGACGGCATACAGATTTTCAAGTCAATAGAATCCGACGAGACCCATTGGAATATTTTGGTCGCCGCATTTTAAACGGTAAAGCTTTCTATGCTTTGCCCATTGAGAACAATTGGAACATGTTAAAGGAGGACGCTCTAAAATTTAGGAACCATCTAAATTTCAAACCTAGATGGTGCGCTGTGGACCATCTCTTTTTCTTCCTTATTTCTACCCATGAGTCATATGAAAATTGGTATTCCCACGTTTGATAAAACCCATTCCTTGTACTCTATCATCTGAATATGACCATGGCTTTCGTTGTGTCATTTTCGAAGGATCTATTCAAGTTTAGCTTTTTTGTTTTCTGTCATTGCATACTAGAATTCTCTTGTTTTCTCCTTTACTTAATTGTAAAATTTTACTTTTCTGCTGCAATCCACTGTTGATCTATCAATTTGATCAATCCCAATTCCCAATTTTTCGGTACAGTCCATTGGACTTTATTGATGAAACTATATGAAGTTTTAAGCACAACTGATCTCTTTAACAACACTACCATTGCTGACAACGTCGTTCGCGGTTGAAAACTCGATTTTCAGCAGTTTAAAGCGATCATGTGCGAGGTGTGTTTTCAAGCGTTTTTTACTAGTGTTTATTCTCACATGCTCATGATGCGTACCCGTTGTTGTTTGAGTAAAAAAAAAGTCAGTAATTGTTTGAAATAACATAAATGTCTTAGAACCGCATGCAAAGACAAAATCATGCACGGATTACATTTTGGCAGTTCCTGTTGATTTTCGCTTGTCATGTCTCGCACTTTCTCGGCGGTAACGCGAGAACGTCAACCAAGGTACAGTATGCAAACAATCGCACCCGGAGATATTTTTGGTTAGATGATAAACACAGCAGGTGCATAGAGGCGTAAACACAAACCAAGAGTGTAAGTTGTAAACCTCATAAATATTAGCTCAAAAGTCCTAGGGACTATAACGAAGACGGAGAGAGAAATGGATGCAATACTCGTTGCGTACGCGCCAGCGAGAATACTTACACACGACAAACAGATGGCCCCTTTGTTTAAATTATGTTCGCTGTTTTTGAAGCGCCAATTTGTGAATTTTGAAAGTAGTGACTCGAAAAAAAATGTTATTGCTGGTATGATGTGTGTCAAATCAAATTTTCTAATGCTAACATAGTGATGTCACGATCATATCGATTAGATCTCGATTCATTCGTTGACAGTGGCTCGAACCAAGGCGCTTTGGTTTATCAAATCGCATAAATCAATTTCCATCAATAAAAAATAAATGTGTGAGAATCAGCAATGTATTATACACACAGTCGTAAACAGTGGTCAAATACAAACAGTAAACAGGGCTAAACAGCACATAATGCCACACCTAGCAATGCCAGCACGACGTTTACGCACACGCAGGCATTCACACCAGCGCTCCGAGTACCGATTGGTAACCGATGATCGTTAACGAAATTACAACCGATGACAACACTAGCTATAACTGCGATAAAATAATGGTGTTTGAATGTTGGTGTAATCAGTGATTTTTTCGCTGTCAGGTGAGATCTATATTCAGCATAATTTAGTTTTTCTGACGCAAAAATCTCGCAATTGAATCTGTTTTTAAAGTGTCATTCATTGCGAGTAATAGCTTTGTCATATGTATCTGGCTATCAACAAGTGTGTTTATGCTGGAGTCATCAACAGTGTACAGCTGGTGATCCACATCAGTGAAATAAATTAATTTTTTCTTGCGGGTCGCTTATTGCAAACCCCCCAAAATTTCGGGGGCTAGCCCTTTCATTTCGCAGGGCTCTTTCCACCTTTCTCAGTGGCTAAACTTTTTTTCCAGGGCTGTTTTCGCTCGAATGTAAGCACACAAGCACAGTAGCTCAATACACCATCGTGGGGGCGCGCACACAGTGGCCACACACCACGGCTAACACGCGATACAGCATCAGTCACAGCACGCACAGCAAGCGTCACGACACACACACGACATTCAGACACACACAGACCACACAGACACAACAGTCAATATTCAAGACAGTTATTCATGACAGACTGACAGACTAACATGATAACACAACTCACAAAGTCACGACCACAAATGCACGCGTTGAATAGTGAATACATCAAGGTGTCAGCTAAACACCAGAACTATTACGGCTATAGCCGCAAATTAGTGGACATGTCCGCCTGTGACGAGCTAGGAGGATCGATTGTTTATAACGCGAAGTCTCTTTGGCGGCTTGGGGTCCAAGCCGCTAAGGGCGCCTGGAAGCTCAGGCGGTTTGTAGAAAAGCGGCTCCGCGAGGATCACGTGTGAAGGCCTGTGCACATCGACCGCTGGGGCGTACGTGCCTGCATGCAGGGGTGGCATTGATGTCAAGTAGGGGGGGGGGGGCACCTGATTGTTTTCAGCGTGGACTAATTCACTATAAAATTTAGAGGGTTGGCAATTGCTGACTATGAGAGAGGCGGCAGCACAAGACTCTCTTTCGGCGACTTGACAAAAAAGCTACAATCGGCGAAGATGACACACGAAGTGTGCGGCAGGGGAAAAAATATATACGTGTAATTTCATTAGGAATTTTCCATGGATACGCGTTCTATAATCCTACGGGTCGTGGTCCTTACGTGGTCTACGTAGGCACGCCCGCAGGCACATCCCGCACACACCACTGCGACGCATGCAGGGCACGCACGCGCGCAGGCACGCACGCACGCAGTGCGCGCAGAACACGACGAAGCAAAGCCGCACGCAGGCAACGATCCGGCACACGACAGGCACGACCGGCACGCACCACCGAACGCGCACGCACGCACGCGGCGAGGCACACACGCAAGCACTGCCCTGCGGCAGCATCGCGACGCACGTAGCACGCGCGCGGAGGCACACACGCAAGCACGCGCACACTCGCGTCTGTTTCACCATCACGATAGTATACGCGCGGGCGGCCGGCGCCGCCGCTTGATTCGAATGCAATACATCACATGCATGCTTAATGATAAACACTTGACAGCACACCGTACTAGGAAATTTCTTACCCGCGCCGTGGAACGCGCTGCCGCAGCCGGCTGCCGCTAGCGGCAGAGGCCGAGCGAGATCGGCAAGGCGCGGGACCGACCTGGACAATCGATTTCCAGGGCGACTTTTGCTTTTGGGGTCGCCCCCGATATCGTATTTTCGGGGGCTCTTTTTGGCATTTCGGGGGCGAAATCGCCCGCCGCCCCCGTGTATTTTTTCCCCTGGATCACATTGTGTTGTAAGATTGCCATTTGCCAAGCCTTGACTGTTGCATCAAAACATTATTGCCTGGCAGCAAGATCAGATCTACCCTCAACACACTCTCACTACAGCACACCCATGCATGCACACACACATATAAATACATACCGGTATAACACCATGGTGCCTAACTTGCCGACAACCGCTCGAATGTTACACAAACCGAGACAGGCACAGCCACAGGCAACCGTTGGTGGCTGCGCATCCTGAAATCCTGCAGGAAATGTTCTCTCCGTGAAAATGTAGAGGATGTATCATCCGAAAATCCCTAACGGCGCTACTTTCGATCGATCGATGTAGTCATGTGCGCGTGACGTCATGCCCGCGCGCATTGTGCTTGGCTTGGCGGGCCTCGAAACAAAGCTCGGAAGCCGGCACCAGCTCATCCCGGCATGCAATGCGCCCCATTACTCATGTATAAACAAAGATCTCGTCCTCTATACATTTTCACGGAGAGAACATTTTCTGCAGGATTTCACGAAACATCTCTGGCGGGAGTAGGTAAGAACAAAGGCCAGAGTTATAATTCGAACAAGTGAACATTTATGTACACATAGATACCAAGATGGGAGCTGTTGGATGTGTTTTCGTTCTGTGATCGTGTGAAATGAAGCGAGCGTCGAACGAATTTTTCAATCCCGCTTTCCTACCTGCTCTCTTATTCATGTTGTTTGTGCACACAGCACAGGGCGGGCGTGCGGTGTACTTGTGTTGCACATGATTTTTATTGAGACGTTCCAAGTGCCTGTGACTGCCAGAGCGTGCGCACAGGTCCCTATATCCAACACGAACCCACAATGTGAGCACCGAAGGTGTCGCACCTTCGGTCTCACACCTTCCGACCCAATTTTTCAACAAACAAATTTTTCAATCCCGCTTTCCTACCTGCTCTCTTAGTCTTATTCATGTTGTTTGTGCACGCAGCACAGGGCGGGCGTGCGGTGTACTTGTGTGTTGCACATGAGCATTTGACCGGCATTTACAGGTGATTATAGATGAAATACAGTAGAGAAACGTTAAGACTGGTACATTTCGTGTTTATTTACCATTAATTTTTTTTACTGAGACGTTCCAAGTGCCTGTGACTACCAGTCCGTGCGCACTGCCACAGGTCCCTATATATCTAACACGAACCCACAATGCGAGCACCGAAGGTCTCACACCTTCGGCGCTCGCATTGGGGCTCGTGTTGGATATAGATTATAGGCACTGGCAGCAAGAACAAGTCCGCACGCACAGCACACACGCGGCCATTGACTATATACTACTACTAGTAGTAGGACCTGTGGCAGTGTGTGCGTGCGTGGGTGCGCGCGTGTGCGATGTAGGGGCAGAATTAATCGGGGGAGGGTATACTGTAGCACAGAAAGACAGCTTATTACATTGCTACCTGCATTTATGTTACCATGATTTCGACAGCAGATATAAGTGTAAATAATAAATTGTGTTATTCACCTCAAAAGAGAAGACAACTCTTGCGGAGAAAGCGCCATTATGCTAGTGGCATCCGCCGTAATTTCCGTCGGTTTAAAGTAATACGCGAGTAGGTTAACAATATTAAATGGAGAAAAATAACTTGACATATCAAAATCACAATTTTTTTACATTAGTCCAATAAATATCTGCTTGTATTACTGTATACATATTTTATATGTATCGTATGATGTAGTACCAATAATATCAAGACAATATGTAAATTCGAATTGTTCAAAATTTTCTATCCGTGTCGCACTATATACAATACCAATCATGGCGTTCGGACAGGGAAGAAACTCTGCTATATTTGTGTTTGCAGTGGTTGTGGGCTGCTTTGCAATATTATATCCAAAAATATTTTATCCTATAATCAAGAGCACATTCTTCTCTAGTTCGAGAGACAAATACGGTATAGTGTTAAAGTATAATCTACAATAGTCAACTTCAACCATGCAATTTTCAAATGCTACGTAACATTGGCCATTGCCAATGATTGGCATTGCCATTGCAATGCTACTGCTAGTGCTAGGCCCAGAGCCGTTTACACAATTACAGACTCAGAGTCAGACTGAAACTGTCATTACTGATTACTCAATTTACTATACAGAGTACTGAGATATGAACTTGGCTCTATTTGTGTGGGACGGATTCACCTGATCTGAATCACTTGATACTGATCTGCCCAAACATTTGCTAACTTGTGTCCAGGTGGTGAATTATCCTTGTGGCCTATCACAGGATTATAACTAACAAGCAGTGATTGACTCAGTGGCAGCCCCCACCTTGAACCCCCAGTTGCACGAGTCCACCTCACCTGCAGCGTCAACAATTTTGTGATCCAGATCAGTAATCTGCCCAAACAGATGTATGCGATCAGTAGATCCACGTGATCTTGATCATATGATTTACCTAAACAAACACGTCCTAAGACTGGACAGCTAAACAAAATGCTGGATCAGGCGCGATACTAGTGGCGACCAACAACTGCCGTTGGGTCGCAAGCTGTAAACAGCAGCAGTATTGCAAACATAGAATGGCTCATCAGTTGTCTCCTATGAAAAGCGCGGGTCCGAGGTGTTCCAACTTCTGGGATTGCCATTTCAAAATTGAGTAATTTTGTCAAAAAATGTAGTTGATCATTCTTGAGGTTGTTAAATTTAAAGAAATTATTTATTAAATAAAGCACAATCTAGATAAATATAGCGAAATTTAGTGTCACCATATAGTAAAAATATTACTGACTACTGATTGTATAGGATAATTGATTACAATCAGATAATTGGTTTATCATCTTAGTGCATGCATGATCTTACTTTATCTGTCATGAAACTTAGAAATACTAGCCTTTTTCCAAAATAGATGTAGTAGCTTTTAAAGCAATTTCAAAAGTAATTGAATTAATGATGATCTGTAATATAACATTGACTTTTTGTTTTAGAGGATGAGTTTATTCCACCGTCGCACATGGGCAGAGGAAAACCCATACGGCGGGTTTCATCAGATGTACAGCGACCACCTATGCATGCAGATGGAGGCCTGGGCTCTAGGGTATAAGTAACAAACAATACATGTCTTATGTGTCTAAAATCTTTACCATGTAAAGTTGCAGTTTATGTTAGAAAAAAGACTGGTAATGTTCAGCATAATGAGGATTATTCTAGAGCTAACATGTGTGTCTTTATACAAAAGACCACCAAATGTATTTTTAGTGTGATGCTGAGTATGAGCTGTGATGCTGAGTGTGAGCTGTGATGCTGAGTGTGAGATGTGATGCTGAGTGTGAACTGTGATGCTGAGTATGAACTGTGATGCTGAGTGTGAGATGTGATGCTGAGTGTGAGCTGTGATGCTGAGTGTGAACTGTGATGCTGAGTATGAACTGTGATGCTGAGTGTGAGATGTGATGCTGAGTGTGAGATGTGATGCTGAGTGTGAGCTGTGATGCTGAGTGTGAGATGTGATACTGAGTGTGAGCTGTGATGCTGAGTGTGAGAATGCGATGCTAAGTGTGAGCAGTGATGCTGAGTGTGAGATGTCATGCTGAATGTGAGCTGTGATGCTGAGTGTGAGCTGTGATGCTGAGTGTGAGCAGTGATGCTGAGTGTGAGCTGTGATGCTGAGTGTCAGATGTGATGCAGTCACCATTGCACCGCTATTTCTGATTTTGTTAAAAATGTTGTGAGTCCTAAAACTTGCATCAACAGGTATACAGAGATATCTTTATCTTGTTGAGTGGACAAGTGATGATAGAGTCATCAGTTACTATTTTAATCTTATTAAAAGGGTCCACCATTGAATCCTGCGATGCGAGGTGCACAAGAGGCGAGGAAGCTACCTGAGAGCAGCAAGAGCAGCATGCACACCTACATGCCAGTCTGTGCAATAGGGGTCATCATATTCCTCTTATATACATTCTTTAAGGTACTGAAATCAATCCAAGTAGTCAGTAACTCTTTTAATAGAACATTCCCCCACAGCATGAATAAAGTGAAATTAACACTGTAACTTACACACGCACATTACTTTGTTTGGAATCCTATTCACACATTCTGGTGCATGTGCACTCTGTCTATATGCTGATTTACATCATTTCTAGTAAGATTATTAAGGCTTATTTTATTTGCTTTGGTTTATATCACTATGTAGGCATTCATGAAGAGAGAGCCTGATCCGCAGGAGGAGGAGATCATGCGCAACTACTACAAGAAGCTGCATTATAATGAGCGGGAGAAAAAGTTTGAGTATGATGACTTGGATGAATATGGACTTGATCCAGACTATGTCGACTTTATCAAAAAACGTAGAGCGGCTGGACAAAGAGGAGGTCAACGGGAAGATAAGTACATAGGTAAGGATAATAACGGGATATAAATATAGGTAAGGCCACAATTAACAAAAATATTTGTTTGCCCTCACCCGACCCAGGCTGAAAAGTTTGGGTAGATAGGTAGGCTTTTTTTCTTTTTCTTGAGGGGGTCTTTTTACAAATTCAGCATGGTGTCTACATGGAATCTTTGTTTTGCTTGGTACATATAATGTATTGCCTACAGATTTGTATAATGTGCAGTGATACAATTTGTAAAAAAAAAAGAGGATGGGAAAGATCAATGAAAAAGTTGAGTCAGCCGCTTTTTGGCGGGTCGGTCGGGTGAGGGCAAAGAAACAATATTTTTATTATGGCCTAAGGATATAAATCAACACACCTGATTTTGCCTTATTTCTAAATATACCTAGTTGGATCTTAAGATAAAAGTAGCATACCGGCCAGATATATGACATGAAACCAGTATGGAAATGAATCCATTATATATCAGTTGAGTGATTGGCAGGCACACATGAGATGGATGAACTGCAGAAGAGACTTGAAGAGACTGAGGGAGCAATGGACAAGATAATGACACAGATGAACATCCTCAGTGACAAGCTGGCAAACACTGGGGTTCTGCAAGATCTTGAACGGATCAGTAAGTATTCCAACAAAGTCGCCAAGTTTTTCTGCTGCAAAAAATAGCCTGAATGCACAGCTCATTTCTTGTGCAATCGCCTGTGCGTTTGCATGATACCAGGTGTATGTATTTGATACAAAAGATATTTTCATGCATACGTACCCTATTGTATACATTCTTTCAGGAGTAGATAATAGGGAAGGAGTGTGACATCAATAAACAAGGGAAATTCGTCATTTACTAGCCTTATAATACCTACGATTTACTACGCGTAACTCATCCAACTTGAGCTAAAATCGGACACAGTACATTCGCCTAGCATCGTGCGAACTCGTTTCCTCGTATTCCCCCGCGTTCCGGTGCTCCAGACTAAAACG